CAACAAACCATGATACAATTTCAGCATGAGACAAAGTCGAGCATAAAAAATTTGGAAACTCAAGTTAGCCAAATTTCAAATGCCGTGAACCGACTTGAAGCAAAAGACTCGGGTAAACTCCCATCTCAAACGGAGCAAAACCCGAGACAACATGTGAATGTCATTATGTTGAAAAGTGAGCTGGCAGAGAAGGGAGATCAGGAGATTGAGGAGGTATATCCTGAAGAAGGCATTCAGTCAGAGGAGGAGACCACAAAGGCCAAGTCACCACCATTGTCTTCATATGAGCCACCCCCACCATTCCCGGAAGCACTCAAAGAAACAAGGAAGCTGGAGAGAAATGCGGATCTCTATGAGACCTTCGCCATGTGTGAGGTAAATATTTCATTTCTTAACTCAATTAAAAGTGTCCCTCGATTCGCTAAATTTTTAAAAGAATTATGCACAATCAAGAGGACACAACATTCAAAGGGAAAACAACCAAGTGAAATTAGTGAACATGTCTCGGCAGTTTTTCAAAAGAACTTCCCAAAAAAATGTGCTGACCCGGGCATGTTTACTATATCGTGCAAACTAGGAGACACCAATTGTAGGGCAATGTTAGACTTAGGGGCATCAATTAACGTGATCCCCTATACTCTGTATAATTCTTTGAACCTTGGCCCTTTTAAATAAAACAAGCATCATAATTCAACTGGCTGATAGATCAACTATTTCCCCGAAAGGGGTGGTGGAAGATGTACTGGTTTCAGTAGGTTATCTAGTGTTTCCTGCCGATTTTTACGTGCTTGAAATGGAGAGTGATGAACACAAAGTCCCCATTTTATTAGGGAGACCATTTTTAAAAACTGTTAATTCAACGATTGATGTTTCTAGCGGACTTTTAACTATGGAATTTGATGGAAGGAAAATAGAATATAGCATTTATGATTCTATTAAAAATCACTCTCCCTTTAAAGAATCAATTTTGATCATTGAGGAATCACTAGAAAAACCACCAGCAGTTGAGGTGGTGGCAAGAAAGAAAGCTCGACCTTACTGGAAAAGGCCGAAAAATAAAAATGAAAAATGGCCAAATAGGGCCTTGAAAAATGAAACAAGGGATGCTCACGATCCCACATAAAACAAAAAAGAAAAAAATGAATAACGTCGTGCCGCGACGTTAACTAAGGTGCTTCTTGGGAGGCAACCCAAGCAACATACGTAGATTTTTGTTTTTTTCTTCTTTCAAGTTTCGCTTTTGAGAGAGTGAGAGAGATGGCACTAACCACATGTTTCAAAGGAGAAGAAAATGCAGGTTTTGACAATCAGGGGGCATACCTGATCGGGTACCACTACATACTCGGTCGGGTATGGCTAAATAAGAGGGACCGAGTTCAATACTCGATCGAAGCAGCCATATTTTTCCAAAATTCATGCATACTCGATCGGGTACAATTACATACCCGGTCGAGTATTCATAGAAAAGCAAAGCTAAAAAAAAGCCTACCTCGAAGACTCGATCGAGTAACGAGCTCAACATGTGCAAAAAGAAGAATACCCGATCGGGTATGACTTCCTACCCGGTCGGATAGTGCTGGAAATTCCAACGCCCAAAACCCCTGCCTCTAGCACCCGGTCGGGTATAACTAGATACTCGATCGAGTATGCATGAAAAACCAAAGTCCAAACCCGCTGCCTCCTATACCCGATCGAGTATAGCAGGATGCCCGATGGGGTATACCTACGATTTAACCCCCAAACAACCCCAAACGCTTCATCTTCTCCAAACTACCAACCCAAAAATTCGAACCCCTCCCCCAAACCTCCATTTTCAAACCTTCTCTCTACCATATCTCTCTCATTTCTCCATCAAATCACCCCATTCTACCACCAAAATACTCCCCTCACTCTCCTCAACACACCCATACTCAAAAATCAAATTTTCTCTCAAAATCCCAAAGGTCCGAAAACCCTACCCATTTTCGAAATTTGGAGTTTTCAAGCCTCAAACCACACCAAAATGACACCAAGGAAGAGCAAAGGAGACATCTCCAACAACATGACACCCATCCTGGGCTACGAGGACCTCCAATTCGCCAACACCGAACACCGAACTCGACTTCTCGCTACAATAACAAGGCAAGTAAAACCTTCCCGTTTTCTCTGATCCGGGTCTAAAAAATGTGAATCACAAGTGTTAATATTAAACTTTCATCTATATATTAAGTAACTTGTGGTCAATTTCACTACTCGTGCTCATAATATAGGTTGATCGCATACAATTCGAATGATTGTGTCCAAACTGGATCGAATTGGGGTTTTTATGATCGAGGTATAAAAAATATGAATCACGAGTGTGAAAATTAACATTCAATCTATAAATATTTGGAAAAATGGAAACTAATAATCCAACCTTTTAGCGGTCTTCTTACAATAGTCTCACTTTTTCGTTATTCATGAATAATCCAACCTTTGCACCTCATCTTCATTCACGGGTCCCTGATCGGTTAATGACCTGCTATTCCGAGTTATTTTCTTATCTTTGCAAAATATTATCTTTGTGAAAGGTGAGATTTATGGTATAATGATTTGCAAAGATAAAAAAACAACTTGGAATAGCAGGTCATCAACCGGTCAGAGATCAGTGAATGAAGATGAGGTGCAAAGGTTGAATTATTCATGAATAATAAAAAGGTAGGACTATTGTAATAATACTGCTAAAAAAGGTGGGACTATTAGTTTCCATTTATTTAGTATGACATAACAAAATTAGTACAAAGATGTGATAGTAAAAAAAACAAAGATATAATTAAATTTCTAACCTCACTTTGAAGAACACAAAAAATTGAAATAACAAAAACACTCAATTTGAAATCAGAGGATTTGGATTGTTTTATCAAAATCTAATGGGTGAGAATAGGAAGGGAGAAACACAATCGTTGTGTTTGCTAGGTGGCCAATCAGTAGCTTCACCCAAAAGATGCAAACGGATTAGCCTAATCCGATATTCAAAAGGGTCTGTTGCTGGAGACCAACTCTCCACCCAAAACAAATAAGAATTCTCCTGATAGCTTCTGTGCCCAAAGCTTCTCAAAAACATTTACAATTTTTTTTAAAAACTTTATTCAATTAACAATTCTGCCAGAAATTAAAGAAAAAACAAAAGCATACCCTAGTCGGAAGTGGCATATCCAACTGTAGGAGGACCTATTTTTTTAAAACTGTATTTTAAAAAACATTTAAAATAAAAAACTTTTAAAATTTAAAAAAAAAACTTTATTTAAAATTAACAATTACGCTAGGAATTAAAAAAAAAAACAAAAAAAAACCCTAGTCGGAAGTGGCATATCCGAGTGCCAGGACCAGTATATATGGATGTATCTTGTGTCCTATTTGGCATTTCATACTCTCTCCAGGAAAGTTTGGAAATCCATACTCTGCTTTTTATGTTCAGCTAGAGTGAACTTGAATACATGTGATGAACTTGAGTGAACATGGGTTTGTTAGTAAAAACTAAGTCAATCTAGATGAAAACTTATGCATATGTAAAATGAGGTAAGGGTCAGTTTGGTCCTCGAAATTGCATAAAATGGGTCAAATAAGTCCTTATAATGTCTTTACTGTCGGGCCGTCGCCATTTGGGGCAGTTACCGGTGGAATTGTTTGATGAAATTTTTTGAGCATCTTATTCATTAAGTCTAGTTTACTCATACTAAATTTTAGCCAAAAAATAAATCGGGAAGGCATTCAAATGAAGTCTTGAAGATAACTGCGCTTTTAACTGCGCAGTTATCTTCAAGACTTCATTTGAATGTCTTCCCGATTTAAGTTTTATCTGAAATTTGGTATGAGTAAACTAGACTTAATGAATAAGATGCTCAAAAATATTTATCAAAACATTCCACTGGGAACCGCCCCAAACGACGACTCCCGGACAGTAAGGACGTTATAAGACTTATTTGACACCTTTTATGCAACTTCAAGAACCAAACTGGCCCTTACCTCTATGTAAAATCTTATCCCGGTAATTATAAGCTAAAAAGTTTGTTTTAGGATGGGGCAATGTTCTAAAATGCGTTAGGCGCTAGTCGGGCGCCAGCCCAGCACTTAGGCGGCTAAGCAGACGTCTAGGCGGGGACTACTCAGAAACATAGAAATTATAATTTTATCAACATTTTTGCATAAATATGATTAGTAATGTTGTGTTTTGGTGTGTATAAAATATACTTGGTATATACACATTTACATGCATGAATGATAGGGTTGTCATATTTAATACATAGTAATATATTATTCCTACTCACGTAACTTCATTACGTAGTAAATATTATTAAATAATATTATCACTCAAGTTTTTATCGTAATCTATAACTAATAGCTTTCTTCATATGCCTTGTTAAAGTTAAGGGTATATATATTTCTAAGAATACTAAAATAAAAAAGTAAAATAAAATGTTCAACGAATCTAGACGCATAGGCTGCCGATTAAGCGCTCTGGGCGGGCAACTAGGCGCCTTGCGTCCCACTAATTCACCTAGGCACCAAATCAATTAGTCGGAGCGCCTAGACTAAAATCAGGGAGGCTGACCACCACCTAGCGCCTAGGCAGGGACTAATTGGACGCCTAGAGCGATTTTTAGAACAGTGGGATGGGGCTTATGCTAGGTAAACATAATAAAGTACTTATAAAGATTAACTTACGAAAACCTTTGTTTTGAAGGTTAAGCCTTGGTAGCTGATAGAATAGGAAGGAACTAGGCGCCTAGCATCTGGTATTGAAATTATATTAGGCTTAGCATCTGGTATTGAAATTATATCAGGCTTAATGGCAAAATGTGCTAGTCCTACTTGTCGTGTCTTTTGCATATTTGGTACTTGTTTTCATTTTACTCCATTTTTTTGTCAAGAAAAACATCTTTTTACATCGACTTTTCCCATGCCGGTAAAGGGTAATAGGCTATCATCATAGATTTTTTAACATTAGGAGCCCGTTTGGTAACATTAAAATTGGCTGAATTGGCAAAATGTGCTAGTTCTTTGGATTTTGCTGCTTTCGCTACATTTTAAACATAATTCGATGGGGGGAAGAAAATATACACAGGAAATGAGAAAATACAGTAACAAGTTCTTCTGCATACAACTTTGATGGTTTCCACAACTACTGTACACACAAATTAAACAATTGAAAGAGTGAGATTTAACCTCTCTTAACCATTTCACAACAAACAAATATAAAAAGAGATCAATTTGTACATAAATTTGAATTAGGCCTGAACTAGTGGCTCTGGTTCCTTGCCACCTAAAACCATGATAAAAGCCTTTGTAATAGGTCCTTATTCCAGTTCTTAGGATCGACAGTTCCAGTTAAGTTTTGGGTTGGGATATTATTTCACACTACTTTTCAGGCCGATCTTGTCCCGAATTCGCTACGATAATAGTTGACCTTAATCCACCATTTGATAGAATTGGAATCAAAACCTTATAAATAATGTTTTGGTTCGTGGAGGTTATGATTCTGATGAATAAACAATAGAATCGTGTCCACCCCTAATATGAATAGTGGTTAACACATTCGAGATAAATTGATCCAAATTTTTCCGAGAGGATCCACTTTTGCTCAATGCATCTTCCATTGTCTTCTTCACTTTCTTCATTGCATTCCTTAGCTCTTCACTTGATTTACCACCTATCAATTGTTTGATTTTCCCTGCTATTTCCAACTTAGAGATTGGCTTTTTGTCACATAGATCCATTCCAATTTTCCAATCATCCACAATCAGCTTCCTGTTAGTGAATTGATCAGTAAGGAGAGGGAAGCAAAGTAATGGCACCTCACACCAAATACTTTCCAGAGTTGAATTCCAACCGCAATGAGTTAAGAAACCTCCCACGGCTGGGTTGGTCAAAACCTGCTTTTGATTGCACCAAGGTATGATCAGCCCACGGTCGCTAACCTCTTCTATGATATCTCGGGGCAACAGATTTGAATCGTTTGAGCTCACCATATCGGGTCGAAGCGCCCAAATGAAATTTTCCTGACTAAGTGATAGTCCATAAGCTATCTCAAGAATTTCTTGTTTTGACAAATGTGCATAGCTACCGAATGAGACGTACAACACCGAGCCGTGTGGCTTGGAGTTGAGCCACTGGGTGCAATCGGACTCCAACCATAGGCTCGTCTTGACTTGTGGATTCGAGGAGAAAGAAGGCGGAAAGATGGGACCTGCCGCGAAAAACTTCATCTTTTCTTGGAGAGCACCAATGGTGTGCTGCTCTAGTTCTTGAATAGTGTTGCACAACACAAAATCTGCATGGTCTCTAGCATCGGCAAATGCAGTATCAATGATTTGGTGACACACTGTTGTTGTGTCTGTTTCTTGAATGTATGACATTAAATCTTTAGGTCGGATTGATCCAACTCCAGGCACGTAGTCAATCTCATCCTTCCTCACATCTGATAGTGTTAAACAATTAAAAGTTACTGTAGTACATACTGAAATACTATATCACATTAATTTTGGTTCTTTTCTATTCTACGGTTTAAAATTATAAAAATGTTTTCAAGTTTAATTGACATCAGTTGAATTGTAATTCTTAAGAGATATTTATGTGCATCAATACATTAGCTATTGATTACGGAACATTAAACATTTTTCCCAATAAGTATTACTGTGATGTCATTTTGATTACAAAGTAACTTTTTATAGTTCGTTTAAACTCAATCCCAAACCCAAAAAGGTGGAGTCGCCCATTCCTAGTGCTCTATACCCCGACATGAAAGAACAGTGGAGTAAGTCACGTCGTGATATTAAACAATATGTTTCTCAATGAGGTGGTTCAGGGCCTGAAGTGTTATATGTATGTATAATGTTCTGCATGCAAATGAAATAACGAATAAATAATTTAGAAAAACGTAAGATTACTTGTAACCGAGCCCAACTTAAGCGGTGTTTCTTTAAGACATTTTTGCCCGACACACGTAGCAATCGTCTCTCAGGATAGAACGGTTCTTCGCTCCCAATAGGATTCCGGCGAACTCAAAGATGCAACGAAGGAAGATATTATATGGAGGATTGTGTGATGATTTTCGGATTGATTGAAAATGACGGCAGTCATGGGTATATATAGAGCTCTGGCCAGGAGACTCTACACCCAAAAGACACATTTAGAAAGAAAGGTCGTGACCTTCCTTCTAAAACCAATGGATGTGTCTATTGCCAAACATTATCCAAAATTAAGAGCGACTAATATAATTATCTTTAAGCCATATACTCGAGCGGACGGTTTAAGACTCTAACCCGAAACCCGACCCGGCCTACTGAACGGCGGTGACGGTGTTTGCGTGTGAGATATAATTTCACACTTATCTTTCGAGAAACAATTTCTCATTCATTTCAAAATGATTTTTACAAATAATATTAATGACCATAATATTAATTTGTAAAACCATTTTTCCAACATGAAGTGCGCAAAGAGTCACCACAAATTTTCATGTCCCGCTGTCATTAATTGAGTGTGAGAGTTCAATCCAACTGTCTCACTCAGCAACCTCAACAACCGTTGATGAACGGAAGCATGTTATGATTTGTTTAAACTCATCAAATAAAACTGATTGTTAATTTATTTGACTATCTTTATGATAAATGATTGTTATTGAATCAAATAAAGCACTTTTATTGTTACAGAAGATGTGCAAGCATGATTCTTTACGTTTAAGAGAAGTGTACGATTAAATATTAGGGAAATTTCCTAGAATATGACTAAAACTTAATGAGTTTCTCAATCTATGACTTAACTAGTTTTTAGACTTTTATATGACCGAAATTCCAAAAATAAAATAAAATAACGTTTTTAATTAAAAGTTGAATGACGAAAATGCCCTTATTTTTAAATATGTGCATTTTGCACTTATTTCGTCCAATTAAAATCACTGCATTTTATATCGTCGTTACTGCACGACATTACTGCACGACATTACTGCACGACATTACTGCACATCCGGTAATAATCAAAGCACTTCTGCCAAAATTAATTCTCTTTTCATTCACATTACGAAATTACCTATAGTTTTTATTTTTTATTTTTTTAAATTTAATAATTTTATTATTTTACGTCTAATTAAGTATATTGCTTTCCATGATAAAATTACTGCTCTGCGTTACTGCACTACCGATAATAATCATTACACAACAAACTTTTTCAATGCATTCAATCACTGCCATGTACAATATATATTTCCATATTCACTGCCATATTCAAGAATATCTATGATGATATTCATTGCCCATGTTCAATGTCCGTTTTTAATGCCAAAAATAGAAAAGCAAAAATGAGAATGGAGGGTAGAACTAATAGCAAGTCCAAAGCAGTTGCCTCCGTGTCCAACAAAAATTTGACGCAACAAATCCAAATTAAAGCAGTGGTCTATGTATTCAAAGCAAACCCAATCTAGGAGGCCCATCCTCACACACAAAATGCTACAGACCTATTTTTCCATAAGCAGCGCTGCACTCCCCCTCCTTGCGGCCTCCCTCCCTGCTAGGTTTTGGCAGCATTCCAACGATTAAGGTAAGCCCATTGGACAGAGGCGGGCGACTGGGCGGTAGATTGCATGGATCGCGATGACGGTGGCGCACATAGATTGGACGGCGCCGACACACATGTGTAGGGATGATGGCGGGGGTGGGTGGCGTCGGTCTGGGCGGTGGCTGCGTCGAGCAGGTGTGGGGCTGAGGGTGGCTGGGCAATCAACCCTGGACGACGACGAGGGGCGGGCCGTGGGGCGGCGAGAGACGGCGGATCATGGGACGGCGGCGGTAGGGGCGTGCGGCTGCAGGCGGGTGGATCTACGGAGGTGGTGGAATGGAGGCTAGGGTTGGAGAAAATAGTAGGAAATTCGAGTTTTATAGAGATAATCTAAAGGGCATATTTGTCAACCTAATTTATTTATTTATTTATCACGAATTTTATATAAATATTATGAATTTTAGTATTATTTTGGTAAAAAAACTAGTTAGGTCATAGATTGGGAAGGAGAACAAGTTTTAGTCATACGTAGGGTAATTATCTTTAAATATTACGGTTAAAAAAAAAATTAGGGACCAAAATGATGTAAGTGTACTATTTACATGAGCCCATCATCAAGTCACTTGTAATTGATGCCCACATGTCATGTCGAACCATTTGAAAAATAATGACAAACTATGACATGTCACATACACACACTAACATCATTATAATCATTTTTTATTTATTTATTTATTTTGATAATCCAAGTGTTGAGGCTTACGTTCTCATAATCCTGGAGTCTATGAACTACTCTCCAAAGCTCCTAGATAAATAATCCGGATCTGATCACAGTCAGCCTCGTCAGTACTAGCCCCAAACGACGAATCCAGCAGGATTTACATCACCTTTCAGGTTGTTGCTCCCACCACACGAACCCGCTACTTTCATTACCATCCTCTCCCTTCTCAGCCGCTGAACAACTCCGTGATGGTAGAAAGAATCATTGGGAGCAAGACCTCCCTCCTCTTCCTTAAATGTGCCTAGTGGGATTCGAACCCGAAACCTCCGCTATGACACGATAATCTTCCATCCGGTGAGCTGGAATGGTTGGTTTTATAATCGTTTTTTAAAGTATACATAGTGCAACTTCTTTACATAAGAATAATGATCACTAAATTGAACCAATATTTTTCTTCATGGGATTGGCCGTAAAGTGTATGGCTCAGCGACAAACAAAGTAATGTGCCTTATTGGATGTATTAAGATGGCACGAAATGACCCTTATTTGGCACCCTTGCAAGAATTAAATTCCTGCTAGCTAGCCTACTTCACGGTGGACCCGAGCTAGTTTCATTTCGGTTCTAATTTTGAATCGGAATTAGGATATACTCCCTCCATCTCTTAAAACATTGCCAAGTTTGACCAGTACGAGGATTAATAAAGTAAAAAATGTGTGGTTGAGATTTGTGTAGAGGAGAGAGAATGAATTGGAACCACAAATTCTTTACTTAAAATGGAAAGTGGCAAAGTTAGTGGGACATTCAAAAAAAGAAAGTTAACAAAGTTTTAAGGGACGGAATGAGTAGAATCATACTACCTTCATGCCAATACTAATCATACTACCTTCTCTCAATACGATTGGTACACAAAGGGTGACACGTTTATTTAGAAAAGTTGATTTATATGTTTAATATGAAGTATTGAATTAATAAAATAGAAACAAATTAAGAATAGTTTAGAGTCACACAAAATTTACCGAATTTGATAAGAGACAATACCAGTGAGACAAGTGAGAAACAAAAAAAGATTTAGGGGACGGAGAGCACTTTAATTACTAAATGGGTTCTAGTTCTATTTCAGCTCCCACTTGGGTTATGTTTCTATTTCTTAGAATATTTACAAAAACTTTATTTGCATATCTTCTAGATGAGTTTGAAAAACAAAAATAATTGAATGACCAAATTATGTAGGCAAATTCTTAATTAAATAGTGATAAGATGTTTAACAGAACCTCAATTATCATCAATTTGTCGCTTGTAAACAACCACCTACTTCGGCGGCTATTGGAAAGATAATAATTTAGTGATCGTTCTCTAACTCGAAGTTATAATAATACTTCCTCAACTCACAAAATTTTACTCCGTATTAAATTTTCTTATTGAACCGTCCTAAACATATTACATTTATATTCAAACTAATAAATACTTTGTACTAGAATATGATTAAAATTATTTTACCATCCTTTTGTACAAATCCGAGACATACTGAAGTAAGTATTATTCTACGTATAAATTATTTGTGAAAAGAACCCAGTTACATCCATAGAAGTATATGGAACATTTCAAGGATGATTATATTATAGACTTTATCACATGCTGTAGGAATAAATCCACCCCAAATTTCAATTTTTTTAAACTATTAATTTAAAAATTAGTGTAACAACTTTCAAAAAAATCATTGTGTCAATGTAATTCCGCCCGGTGGGCGTGTTTGACATTTAGCAGTTATCAGATAATGAAATTATGTTAGCTGGTTGTCAATATCAAATTCAGTCTGTGATTTGACTAGCGGAATGAGGTGGTGAGTTGACAACATATGTTTAGTAATTTAGTTGTTTGGTCATAATAATTAGAAGAGAATGTCATATTTCAAAATGTTAATCCAAAACTCTCTTATTTACAGTGTTTTCATTTTAGCGGTTCCGTCCATAAACGCTGAAATCGAAGAATTTATCAAACAACATTTTTACTTACTGAAAATGCTCTAGAGAGAAAAATCGGTATTTTTTCTACTAAAACGTCATTTTACAAACACTCCAATATACTCCCTCCGTCCCGTTGGAATGTTCCCGGTTTGACCTACACATATTAAGGAAATAAACTTATCAGGGGATAAATTTTACTGTTTTGACACTGTTTGACACTGTTTCGACACTGTTTGACACTGTTTGACCCTGTTTTGATGTATGATAACTTTCCATTTAGGGAAATGAGAACTTTCCAACGGGACATCCAAAAAAGAAAGGGGGAACATTTCAATATATCGTCGATCTCACAACTCATAAGATGCCATAAAAATATAAAATTGAGCAAAAGTTTTAGAAAAAGTAAAAGAAAAAACAGAATGTACCTGAACAACCATAATGGCCATTTAGCTTCAAGAGATGGATGTGATAGTAAAGAGTAAAAACCAAAGCCGGTTCGGTCCAGAAAGATATATAGATCAGATCATATTTCTTGGCCAGTTTCCCGGGGAACACAAAGAAAGTGTCGGCGATCAAGCAGTTGACTGGCGGCGTTGACTTCAAGATACCCTTCAGCGCTTCCTCCACGTGGGCAGAATAAACATGCAAAAGGGCAGCCATGAACTGGTCGTGGTTCACCGACCGGTCCCACTCCACCGGAAGGCCGTCGGGAATGGTGACATAACGGATGTCGAGGCCCTGTTCACGGCTGCCGGAGAAGATGTCCCCGTCGTCGCCGTCCTGTTTGTTGCTCTTGGTGAGGTGGCGGTGTACGGATTGGGTGTTGATGAAGGTGATGGTGAACCCTTTCTCAGCGAGCCTGCATGCTAAGTGGACGGACGGATTGACGTGGCCTTGCAGTGGAAAACATACTAATACCGCATGCGGCTTTTGGGGTTTTGTTGAATGAGAAGCCACCATTGCTATATTAACTGAGCTAGCTAGCTATTTGTCTAGGAGTAAGAGCTGGGAGTTTTCATATGGTATTCACAATGCCACACTACCTATATATACCAGTTTTATATGGTGGGATCATCCCACGATGAACATGGTGCTCCACTCCCAAAACGACGTAGCATTGCACAATTTTTTCTTTCTATTTGTCCCAGTAGCATGAATGATGTAACCCGCGAATAAAGATATGTAACTTACGTTATTGATTAATGGAACTCAAGTGCATTCAAAATGTAACTTGTCAAATACATAGTATTAGAAATACAATATTGATTTCAATGTAAACAATGAAAAAAAGAGTCGGATTTCAAAATTGCTTTAGGTAAATTGTGAATATGTTTTGTTTTTAATATCATGACCATAAAAAAAATTAAAAAATATTTTTTTTTGATTCAATATCGAGTTACAGTATTTTTTTTAATGTAACTCATGTTATTACAAATGTAAATCGTGTTGATGGCAAATATAACTTAGATGTATACATAATGTAACTTGTTGAAAAATTGAACATTTTGTGTGTGTGTGTGTTTTGAGAATAATATATATGTCATAAACATTGATTTCAATGAAAACAATGAAAAATTGATCCTAATAGCTTAATTACTTTTTTAAATAGTGAATATGTTTTATTTTTAATATTATTTATATATTTTTAATATTAAGATGTAACTCGCGTATATTAAGATGTAACTCGCGTACAATAAGATGTAACTCGCGCGGAAGAAGATATAAATTCATGATATAATATCAAATATAACTTCAAAAATCAAAATAAACAAACTCAATGTCTTAGAAACCTCTAAAAATATATAAAAGTGATAAAAAAGTTATATTATAGAAAAAGTTTGTCCATATAAAAAATGTAACAAAAAAGTGTGAATATAAAAAGTATATTACAAAAAAATATATGAATATAAAACTTAATACAAAAACAATAATAGTGTATGAATATTAATTGCAATATACTTATTTTATTTAGATTAATAAACTTTTTGTTATGCAATGATAAAGAATTGAAAAAATATATTTAATTATAAGTTAAGATGAAGATAAAGAAAAGTATGATTGCCATTACATTTTTAGTATTTTAATTTGATGGAAAAGAAAAGAATTGAACAAAAGAAAAATAAAGAAAGAAAAGCAATGGAAAAGGGATTTACGTTGCTTCAGGAAGAAAGAAAAAGAAAAGGAACTTGCCTAAAGTAGGATCGGCACACCATGCGGAAGGTGAGCCGATCCCACGGTATAATTTGGGTATATATACTAGTACCTCCTTCCTAAAAAGATGGACCAATTTGACTTTTCTTGGTCAATGGTGTTAAAGTTTAGACAATGATTTTAGGTATTATATTTATAATTAATTTATAAATTTTATACTTTTATGAGATTTTTTTTAATAAAGAATAAACTCATATAATTTTCATATTTCAAATAATTTTGTATTAAAAGATATCATTGGTCAAAGTTGATCATCGTTGATAAAAAAGTCAATTTGACCAATCTTTTTTGGAGTTATATACACCTAAGCCTGGGTCGGAGCTGGGGTGAAATAAAAAAAAGCATTTAAAACATAAACAAAATAAACGTGTATGAGTTAAAGTTTAGAACATTACATCGCTCTTGTATGTCACAAAAATCTTAGCCAAGAAAGGTCAAACCGAACAGACAATTCATCTTTTGAGTAGCAAAATCAAGGATACTCAGTTTTACAACCTAGAGAAGGATTAAGCTTTCAAAACCTTGAAAATTTGAAGAAAGTCGATTGCATTCAGCTTTACGACATAAGATATATATATATGAACCTAGGGTTGACTAAACTTATGAAATTCATTGGTGCTTCTGAAACCATTGAGGAAGAAGAGGTGAAAAGGACAAATAGGGCTAAAGCTGAGATTAGTTTTGATTATAGTGCTCTCAATGACAGTTATGCCACTAGAGAAATTCCTTTGTCAAATGACTATCTCACCCATTCTCTTTCTGAGAATCAAAACGTGTCTAGTGAGGAAGAAGCCTCGACCTCAAAAGTTTCAGAACCCTACGTTCCTCCTTTCATTAAGAAAACTGCTAACCTCCACTAATCTTTTGAAGAGGAAAGTGAAAAGTTTAAACTTGAAAAAGAAAATCTTTTAAAGAAAATTTCTGAATTGTCTGACGAATCCTCTCAAGGCTCAAAATCTCCTGAGACTTCCTTTTCTAATGAGCACAAAAAGAAAAATAATTTTGAAAAGAAAATGAACTTATCCTCTGCACCACATACATGAAAAGCTTTCTCTAAATGCACTGCAGGAAGGATGATCTGGACTCCAAAGAAGAAGTCAAGCAAGGATACAAGACCTGAGCAGACAAATAAGATTTCTAAAATCTTTAATTTTGTGGAAAATTCTTGTAATAGATTTAGAAATTGTTTTCATTCTAGTTCTCCTTCTAGATCCTTTGGTTTTGTTTCTAATAGTTCTCCTAAGCTTTCTTATTCTCACTCTAGTTGTGTGGATTCTAATTCAAGTGATTATTTTAAGCGTGATCAATTAAATTCTTCTCCTTTTTCAAATCATGATGTGTGTGATGTGAATGCAAATAATATTAGAAGATAAATATAGATTTGCGTCTACTAAATTAAACATACATATAGTACATACACTTATATTAGTGCATTGCAATTCTTACGCACTTGAAAAAATGAAAAGAGCTTCTCATAAGGCGAAAATGATAACATCTACTACACGACCTATTGAATTGCTTCACATGGATTTTTGTGGGCCCATGCGTACACAATGTATCAATGGGAAGAAATATGTCCTGGTAATAGTAGATGACTACTCAAGATACACAAGGATCCGATTCTTACGCTCAAAAGATGAGACATCGGACATCATCATCACCTTCATCCGTACTACAGAATCTACTGCAGGCAACCATTCTTTTCATTCGATCTGACAACGGCACTGAGTTCAAAAACCAGAAACTCGGTGAATTCTATGAGACTCAAGGCATCATTCAGCAATTCTCTGCAGCAAAGACACCAGAGCAGAATGGGGTGGTTGAAAGAAAGAACAGAACTCTTGTTGAAGCTGCAAGAACAATGTTGATCCATTCCAAACTTCCACATTTTCTCTGGGTTGAAGCTATCAACACTGCTTGCTTCACTCAGAACAGGACCTCAATTCACAAAAGGTTTGGAAAGACACCATATGAGTTGATCAACCGCCGAACTCCTAGTGTTTCTTTTCTAAGGGTCTTTGGATGCAAGTGCTTTGTTGCTAATGATAGGGAAGATCAAAGCAAGTTTGACCCCAAAGCTATTGAAGGTGTGTTTATTGGCTACTCCTCTTCGTCTAAAGCTTACTGAGTTTACATCAGAGACAGAAAAAAGGTCATTGAAAGCATCAATGTGACCTTTGACAAAAAGGAAGAACATGTTTCTGGACATATAAGTTCAGAACCTGATATCACTGATGTTCTAGCACAACTACCCACCTCATCTCCCTCATCTGATTCAGTCACTGTGGATCTCGACTATCTGTTTGACCAAATATACGAGAATCCACAACCACACGATCCATCTCCTACACCCATTATTGCTTCTACAGCTACAACTCCTACTCCTGCATCAACTCCATCATCTTCTGAAACCACTACCGAAACTACAACGCCTCTAACCACCGATCCAATATCTTCATCTATTCCTCATGCTGATAATCCTTATGTTGATCAGCAACCCAACAATAATGCTCAGCCAGTTCCTCACATTAGAAAATGGACACGTGCTCATCCACCCAATCTCATACTTGGAAATCCTTCAAATGGAGTGTGCACATGATCTGCTACCGAGAATGAATGTCTGTTTTCCTGTTTCCTAAGTCAATCTGAGCCTACTCATATCACTGAAGTGTTAGCTAATCCTGATTGGATAATTGCCATGCAAGAAGAAATCAATCAGTTTGGGAGACTGAAAGTCTGGTCACTTGTGCCTCATCCCCCTGGAAAATCAATCATAGGCATTAAGTGGATCTTCAAGAACAAGAAAGATGAAGACGGGATCATGATTCGCAATAAGGCCCGTCTGGTTGCGAAAGGCTATAATCAACAAGAAGGCATTGGCTACAATGAGACGTTCACACCAGTTGAACGCATTGAAGCCATTCGACTGTTCATGGCTTATGCTGCACAAAAGAACTTCACCATTTATCAAATGGATGTCAAAACAACATTTTTGAACGGGATCCTGAAAGAAGAAGTTTATGTGGATCAACCGGAAGGCTTCATCAGTGAAAAATATCCAGATCACGTATATCGTCTCGATAATGCTTTGTATGGACTCAAACAAGCCCTGAGAGCTTGGTATGAGGAATTATCTGATTTTCTGGTTGATTCTGGCTTCTCAAAAGGAACGATTGATACTACTCTCTTTATTAAGCATCATGTGTCTGACACCATCTTGGTTCAGATCTACGTTGACGACATCATTATTGGTTCTACTGATCCGGCCCTCTGCACTGCGTTTGGAAGTCTGATGCAATCTAAGTTTGAAATGAGCATGATGGGTGAAATGAATTTCTTTCTTGGACGACAAGTTAAACAATTGCCTGATGAAATTTTCATTCATCAGTCCAAGTACATTCATGAATTGCTGAAGAAATACGGTCAAGAGAACAACACCCCTGTGAAAACCCCAATGACTCCAGCCTGCAAGCTCGATACAGATCCATCGGGAAAGCCTGTGAATGTTACCACTTATAGGGGAATGATTGGTTCGTTGTTGTATCTGACCTCGAGCCGACCTTATATAATGTTTGCTACCTGTCTATGTGCTCACTTTCATGCAAATCCAAAAGAATCCCATTTGCTGGTTGTGAAACGAATTCTTCGCTATCTAGGACTCTGGTATCCTAAGAAGACTGCATTTGATCTGATTGCGTTTACTGACGCGGATTTCGCTGGATGTAAAATGGATAGAAAGAGTACTTCTGGTAGTGCTCAATTTTTGGAGAACAGCTGGTTTGTTGGTCCTCAAAGAAGCAAAATTTTGTG